GAGGCTATAAAATAGCATGCACTATTTTATCCCACTCTGTAAAAGTAATTATATGTTTTATCTTTACAAGAATAGTTAATGATGGTTATTTTGGACTGGTAGGATTACTAGAAACATTTTTTCTTTTTGTAAACTTGCATTTTCTAGATTTTCTGTAATTCAGAGATTTAAATTTTGTAGTGATAAAGTTTTTAAAAAATCATTTTTAGGTATGAAACTAAAGGTGCCATGGAAATTTGTCTCCCATATGACTGACTGACTCTGAGGGGGCTTGTTACTCAGGGGTCAGTAGTCTCTTAAAACGAAGAATAAATAATGGAAAATAGAGGCATTTCTTGCTTTATGACTCATGCTGTGCTCGGGTGGTGAGGGGTTAGCGCAGCTACAATAGTGTATTTGCTTGGATCATATGGAGGCACACACGGAAGGCAGAGTGGGGGGAAATGATTAGCAACTAGACACCCAGACGCAGTTTTTGTCTGTGTTTTTCCTCTCCTTCGTAGGTGATGAGGGCATGTGCCTTTGCAGGGTGCTAGTCAGTGGGGGGCGGATTCTTGCTGATGGTCGTGGACAAGGGCAGTCTCAGGGTCAGGTCCAGAGAGGAGCAGCCAGCTCGTGCTCCCTGAGTGTCTCCTGCTGAAGGAACCGGTGTAACCAGAGCGTCTCCGTGACTCAGAGAAGACTGAGAGGAGCCAGCAGGGAACTTCTGGCGAGGCGAACTCCAGGGTGCATCTCCCAAAGCAGAGCTTCCAGCCGCACGGGATGCCCGAGGACCGCCTGGAAAACCAGCGAATCTTCCCTCTCCAAGAGCGCGCTGTCCATTGAAGCCACGCTGAGCAATAGCGGGGGCCAGCCCAGACCCAGGCCGGGGAGGCTTGGCCCCGAGTTCTGCATCCATGACATGGATTGCGGCCCCTCCCCACTCTCTGGCCACGTAAGGAGGACCTGGGTCGCTGCCTCGGCCACAGGCCTGGCCCTCACTCCTAGATCCTCAGCCCTGCTGGCACTGGGGCCGCCCCTGCCACTAGGCACACACCTCGGGACGGAGGAGCGGGAGTAGGAGATGGAACATGAGCTACACCAGATGCTGCGGACAAGAGTCCCAAATAGGATGTGCTCAGGGGTACGGTCCCCTTTAAGAGAAAATTAAAGATAAGAATGGAGTTATTTCAGTTTAAAATCTCAACAAGTTTAGTTTTTGAGCGCCAATTTCTCTAGATTTTGATGACTAATTAAAATATGACAAACTTGGATGGAGCAGAAAAAGTTGCTGTGTAGTAGACTAGAGCATTAATATGCTTAAATAGAAAGAACACTTCTGTAGAATTAGTAATACATGACTCAGGTACCCTGAAGTCTGCTGATCATACCCGCACCAGCCCACCAGGACCTCCCAATGACCAGTTTTTTTGTGTTTTTTTTGTAACTCCACTGGGTGTGATATTCAGTGTCCAGGATCATCTGTCATTTTGTTGGACTTCTTCACAGCCCCGCTGCTTCCTGGCTGAGTTATTTATGTAACATTATTCCACATGGGAAAGCCCAGCTGTTAGAGTTTTAGGATCAGGAATAAGAACACATTTTTATTAGATCTTTCATCTTGTCTACAGTGTTTTTCTTGGTTTAAATAATGATAACAGCATGCCGACTCCTCCACCATAACTCACTCCCTGTGTCTTTGGAGGGAGAATGCCCTTGTTGTACTTCTGGGGTTCCAGAATGGGGCTCGCATCAAACTGAATGTGAAATCAGTGTGTGGGATTGTGCAATCACCTGGTGAGCTTGAACTCATACAACTGGGGTGGGCACTGCAGAAACAAAAATAAGATTAAGTTACAGATTGGTGGGAGCAAGAGAGGCATATGAGAGAGGAAAGAGTTTAGTGGATTAGAAAGTTTTGATCACGGAAGGAAAGCTGTACCATTTACAAAAACAGGGAAACACAGGGCAGCATGTTTGGAAGGGAAGATGAAGAGCTTTGTTTGGGACACATTAAATTCGAGTTGCTGGGAGGAGATTCAGATGGAAGGGTCTGAGAGGTCATGACGACCTTGTCGTGTGTCAACTTGGTTAGGCCGACCTACATTTCCTAGACTCCCTTTGCCTGTGAGGGTCTGGTTAGAGTGGGCGACAGGAGTGGTGTGAAACGTGGAGGGCAGAGGTGAGGCAACAGCCACTTTGCGAGCCCACACCCCTGGTCAGGGACCTGTACCTTGTTAGCCTGAGGCACAGCTGGGCCTTCAGCTGCTCTGCCTTCTCCTTCAGCTTCTGACTCCTGGGCCAGAGATGTTTACCTGCAAGGTAATAAAGGGCTCTGGGCTTTTTTCTGGACATCCACAGCACCAAGGTCAGAGCGGTGAGAACTGACACGGGGTCTTAATCCATCCTGAAGCTTCTCGCCTTCCCTTCCTGTGGATTTCAGGTCCAATATTCAACACAAGGACAGCAGCTTTAGAGAAACTACTAACCCTGCTCCAGTTGTGTAGTGGAATCTTTTGCATGAGTCTGTCGGTCGTTTCTTCGGCTCAAAGCACTGGATGCTTTGGCTGGTTTCTCTATCCAATTTACACCATTCTTTGTCTCACTTAGAATAATGTTCTTTATGCTACTGTTCTATAAATTGCTTGACCACTTCAAGCCCTAAGCTCTTTTCCTGTCTCTGGGTCTTTGAATATGCTGTTCCTTCTGCCTCTAAGCTCATGCTTTTAGTCTGCAGGTTGTAGCTTAACCCATTCCATAGACTGGCCTACTCTGACAACTCTATTTAAATCCTGTCTTCCTCAGGGTCCTTCCTAGAGGTTGGGAACACTCATGTAAATAACTTTTTGGTTAGCTGGTCTTCACTAGAATACAGGTTCCATGACAGCAAGAGCTTATTGGTCTTGCCACACTTTGTACACCCTGACACTACCACTGTCTGACACACAACCAGTTTTCACATTTTTCTAGTAGAAAGGGAGACATGAAGGACTCTCTTGTGGAGCAGAAATACCAAGTGGTTAATTTCACATTTCTTGGGAGCACAAAAATTATCTTGAGTTTTATCACTGTTTCTACTCTTCATGGCAGGTCAAGCTAATTGCCTAAGGATTCAGGAACCATAACAGTTTTCTACATCCAATTTCTAAATTTTAACAGATTCAATTACACTTCTTTGAAAAGATGCTTGTGATAATACTTAATAAAAACTCAACTAGTATTGGAGTTGCCAGAGTATAAATGCTGTTTTACATGGTGGGTTTAGAATTATATCACTGTTATTTTGGCTTTGATTTAGAGCTAAAACCAGTGACCCAGTAGATCTGAATGAAGCTGAGGTTATTCATAAAACTAAATTTTCAGAAAACTCATCCAACTCTATTACCTGATATTTTGTGTTTTACAGCTTATTTTCATATTGTAAACTTCTTAAACATAGTTTATTAGAGTACTCTCATTATTTTCCAAGATTTAACAGACATTCCATTTGTAAATATATAACATTAGGTAAAGAACAAGCAAATATTAAGTTTTTATTCATTAAAATCAAAAGAAAAATACTATCTTGTTTTCCAGGAGCCTTAATGAAATAATACTGAGAGTATTCTAATTTCATAAGTTTTAATTTCCTAGGTCAAATCTTTTGGGGTTACTCAGAACCTGCATATCACTTTTAACACTTCAATACTGCAAATATTCCTTCAAGGCCAGCCTTAAAATCCTTCATGCCTTAAGTGTTTCCTTATTTCTTTTAAAACAGCTTAATATCTTTGCAAATTACTTTTCCAGCATTTAGCCTAGACATAGTACTTGATCAAAAATGTTAAAGTGGCTCATACATTACACATTTTGGCATCTGGGCACAAATCCTCAATCACTACACATTTGCTGCTCGGCCCTTCCTTGCCAAAGCAAGCTGCTAGTGTCTGGGCATTCTGTAGTTCCTGAGTGTGGAGTCCTCAGACTCCACAGTGTGTTTAGTGACTACCCTTATTTCTAATATTTATGCCTCCCCAACAAGTATGTATGGTTAAGGACATTAATGCAACTCTTTTGAATTGAAAACAGATTTGCAGATTTTGCTTTCCTACTATGTTAAATTCAATGGTCTCAAGCAAAGCCATTTTGAATTCTCTTGAGCAGTTAGAAATCAGAAATTCATTGACTTTCTCTAGTCTTATCTCAACTGGTAATAAAATGGAGCAGTGAGGGATTTACAAAACACATCAAAGGAAACAAGATCCTGTTTTTTTTTTTTATTCATATGTGAAATATCTTTTGAGTTCAAAACTCAGCTACAAATACAAGGGTGGGCAAAAGTAGGTTTACTGTTGTGAATACGAGAGTTTATTCCTGTATTAAAAATTATTGTATTATTTGCCACAGGAACTATAAACCTACTCTTGCCCACCCCTGCATAGTTGTTGCAATTCATTTGGTTACATAAATTCTTTTTAGTAAGAGGTCTAACAAAACTTTGCCTGTTAATATAGTGGTAGGATGACAACAGCAGAAGGACCGTGCTGCCCAAAGCAAGGCATATGGTACATACAAGACTTTCCTCTCTCTCGATAAATGGTGTGAATTTGCTGAGTACTCTGACTCTGATGGACACAGCTCATAGACAGATTCTGGACAGAAAAAGATAGCTACTTGCCAGAATGTTTGGGCATCTGAAGGCTTCCAGTTGAGGAGGTTGAAAATAATTGTAATTAATAACTGTCACTTTCATTCAGAATCAGATTTCAACCGTCCCTAGGGGAATTAACGACTTCCTATCTAAAGTAAGTCATTTAGGCTCTTGAAGGCTCAAATAAACAGTACTATAATAGACTGAACAGTTCTAAGTTGCAAAACAACCAAAACCAAATTCCCCAAACTAATCTTGATCATTTATTAAAACATGAAGGTAAAACAAATAGAAACATTTCTCTATTACCATCTTACCCCAAAGATGTCAACTGCAGTTTTTTAACCTCTAAAAAAACTTTCACTCATCTGACATAAAAAGTAGGAGGCTCTTGAGAGTTCATTTCGATTTTTATTATACACCATAGGCATGTGGACTAACTGGAGTAGGATGATTAACTGTACTCTTAAAATCACAGGAAATGTATTTCCACCCCTCCCCCCTTTCTGATATTGGAGTGGCATTGCAGAAAACTTTGGGGTTAATTTAGGGCAAAGTAAAAGAAAACGCCATGGAAGGCGGTATATAAATGAAGCTAGTTTTGAAAGCTAGTGTAACTTGCTCATTGCTGTTGAGAACAAGGCTGTATAGTACTCACAATGCTATTTTAGTTAAGTTCTCATTTAAGGTGAATAGGTTCTGTGACTTTCCATAAAACGATTGCAATAAAACCAATTTCACCACAGGCTAATTGAAATAAACCAGTTAGGTTCCTAAGGCATCTCATCAGCATTATAACGAAATGATGTTAGTCAAGTACTTGCTATGCTCAGCTACTTATATTCTGAACATCTGTCACTGAATGCAAAGACAGAAAAGAGCAGTCCCTAAGAATCTTCCATTCGTTTTTAGCTTCCTACGATCCAATAATTTCTCAAAGGCTTTGAAAAGAGTGTAAGTCCTTGCTTATTGTACGCCCTTTGTGTGCACCAAGGGAAGGTCTGCTTCTTGCACAGATGTTTTAACAACCATGGCTGCTCTGGCACTGATGGAGGATGGGTGACCGAGGTCCTAAAAGCATCTGACCTGGTTGCCTGGGCTTGATACACTTAGCAGGTCAGTCTCTGGAGAGTATGCTATTGTAGTCCTGGGCCAAATTAGTTTGTTTATATATTCACCAAGGAAGGATTTTATTTTTATGTTGTAGCTTTTTTTGGTCAGGCAGGAGGGAACACATATTCAACTTCAATTTTGAGGTAGGTAACAGATGAGAAAAATACAGACCCTCTAGGATCTAATCTCCGCTCACCTTTCTAGGCTTGTTTTACTAATCCCCAGGTGGCATAAGCTGGGTAGTTATAGTCAATATATCCCTGGTGCTTTTGCACATGGTTCTTAGATTCAGCTCAAGCACTGCTTCTTCAGAAAGAAGTTCATATCCTTGACTGAGTTGTCTGTCACCCTTATTTTCTTCTAGAATTCTGGGATTATCTCAATAATAAATGCTCTCCCATCCACTGCCACTTTGTGACTACTAGAGGGGAAGAATTGTGTACCTGTCTATCTTCAGTGATATACCATATGCACTCTATAAATGCTTCTTGAAAGAATACTGAAATATAAATATTCTGTTTACAAGTCCTAGGTCTTTTCACAAAACTAAGCAGAGAACTGTTCATTTTTGACTTTGTAAACTTGGAGAAGTTAGTTCATTCAAACTTCTATTTTGTCCTAAGGCTGGTCTGCACATCACTAAGATGAAAGAGCCTATTACAAATTACATATTACTATTATCCCTAGTACTAAAGGACTATTTTGAATTTGAATATGTAAGAGCATTCAGGACAGCGCCTGGACGAGCAGCACAGGTACTGCGAAGACACTGGACTTGATTCTCAACTTGAAGCCACAGAAGGGATTCAGCGCACCATGTGGCCCTTTGGCCATCTTTAAGACTGCTGAGGGAGAAGACACTCCTGCCACTGGCACAGCTCAGGCCAACCAGGAACTGATTTTCAGTACAAGACAAATTCTAGGAGAGATGGAATCAAAGATTCTGGAGCCAGTAAGGTGAGGGAGAGTATCTGAACCTAGACATCTGTGGACTGCAGTGCCATCACCCCACCCTGCACCCCCGCAGTAAGACTGGTGACAGAGGCAGCCATCTGATGCCTAAACTGACCCAGACCTCCCCACTGAGGCCACGGGATATCTGCATATTTTGCAGGCTCAAAACTACCTGCACTGCCCCTTTCGTTACAGAACAGGAGTCAGTGGGAACCACTTGAAAACAATACATTCAAGAAAGTGCTAACTGCTTTTATTCATAGAATCCTATGTCTTTCCCCCACCTCCCAAAGAGCTTGTGTTGAAAAGGTCAAAACGGCTGGGGTCAGAAATAAGCTGCCTCCCACTCTGTTCAGAATCTATAAGAGGGCAAATTTTTAGATATTACCACAAATTTTCCAGAGAAATTATTTCTTCCTCTATCTTCCACCTACACCCTCCAAAATGCCTACTTAAAGAAATGTCTTAGAATTGATTATCTAGAATATTTGTCTTTTTAAAATATTAGATTTATGTAGCACATAAAAAGTTAGTCGACAAAGCTTTTGGAAAATCTAGTTGGCAGCAGAATTGAACAACAGATGGCCACTAAGAAACCAGACCCAGAAAGGTAACTTACTCTGCGTATATATGCTGATAAGAGTACTATTTGGGGGATATCCTGAAAATCCTTGACTTAATACAAAGCCCAAGAGACAGTTCAGAGTAGGAACAATTCTCATACCCTGATTCTCTGTCTACAGCAAAATATACCACTTTTATTTAACCAGCTTTAGATAAGCAAAAAATGTAAAAACAAATATAGTCACAGCTTACAGCAGCTTTTGTTTTGGGAAGAAAAAAAAAGACAGCAACGCATACCCAGTTTTTCTTAGATGTTTCCTAGAATTCTTTCCAAGTAGTTTAGTTTTAAAAATAGCTGGCTTTCAGTTCTTTACCTTGTTTCTGTAGAAAGAGCTACTAGCAGACTCATTTTAAAATAATTCTCTTTTCTTTAAAAAAAAAAAAAAAAAAGTTTTTTTTTTTACCTTTATGGGGAACTAATAGCTGAGAACAACATCCAAATAATACTATATATAACGGGCAATTTTTAGCTAAGATGGTCAGTAGATCTGAAAACTATCATTACCTATTAAGTTACATAAGAGATTCCAGTTCAAGTTGACAGACAAAAAATAAACTAGATTCAAAGTGTTGTATTAAAAAACAACAGTACAGTTTGCATTTTAGGGCAATTAAAATAAGCGGAGACCTGAGTCTAAAAAGAAAAAGAAAAAAACACATACAGGATTATCATTTTGTAATTGTTCTACTTTGCTCTTTTCATTCTAAGACTGTAGTTTTATTTAGAGAATGAGTTAGCTGGTCAAATTTATGCTTAAGACATTTATCCATACTTAACTAGAGAGGGTGCAGAAGCTACTACAACAATCGGTTATTCTAAATCCTTTTATGTTAAATACACACACTTTCCCCACAATACTCAATTTCATTTGTCTTCTTCCTTAGAATGGCATAGGCTTATTTTAAATAGTTTAAAAACCTGTAATAAACTACAGAGTTCATTAAGAGTAGAGGTACTCTGGTTTATGCTCAAAATGGTATGACCAGAGGTAAAGCAAGTATTATTAAAAAAGCACAATCCTTATCAACATAAATTGAACCTTTTTTTTCAATAAAAAAAGCTAGTCCAATATACGGTCTCATTCTATAAAGATATATCACTTCCAAATCACAGTGAAAGGAACTTGAATAATTTACCAATTTTTTTCTACTATGTGACTTAGAGATACCTCACTAAAAACTGGTATCAGACAGGACAAAATGACATTTACAGAATATAACATTGTAGTGACAGTACTGAGATTGATTGTTACAAACTCTTTGAGTATTAAATGGTTACATCCTAATTATACAGAACATTGGTCCAATAACGAAATGGAGAACAGCAGCTGGGAATTTATCTCATTCAATGTTGAGAGATAAAGTTAACCATTCTTTCCATTATTTTCAAGATAAGTCCCCTTTTTATACTGAAATCTGATGGGAGTTAAATCCAGGTACTTTCCAAGCTACTGCATGAAGAGGATGCTGAAGGCCATCACTATACAGCATACCGCAACGTAAGGACTCTTCCGCTCACCTGTTGAAAACAAGGAAGATGTTCACGTTGAGGAACTGAGTAGCTAACATGTGTGATTTGGTTACATAAGAATCAGGATAAAGTTCCTGTGATAAGGTCCATGTATTTGGAGGGTGGGGTGGGCAAAACAAGAACTAGAGGCAACATAAGAGCAAGTACAATACAGAACGTACTAAACTATATCAATTTATTTCTAAGAGCACCTCCTTTTCACTTGTTTAGAAAACCCTCAATGCGCCATTCCTGTGCTGCTGCATAAACCCAGACATTAAAAAATACAACACAGAAGGTAGGGGAAAGATCCAAGAGAAATGATCTATACTCAATTAAGGCCAAACAAATAGTGATTAATTATTTTCTGCAGAAAGGGAAATTTCCACCCACAAAAAAAATTCAACAGGCAATTTTCAGCCATATTTTTTTTCTCATTGGTAGCAATTCGCAAGACTTTTAAAGGGAAAAATAAGCATTTGTGGATGAAAATGAACAGAGGGTGATCAATAAAACTGCATTTTAAGAATGGGCATAAAATAAAATGATTAACAAAAAACATAAGAAAAAACAATTTTTGAGATGAATTTCATATCGAATCTTTTGTATTTTTTATAGTATGGTAACTCTGGGTCAGAAATTTAGAACTTAAAACAGCCACTTCAGGATGGGTAGATTTTCACATGTGTTTAAGGAGTATTTATACTTGGGTGACTTTCCTTCTGCATGAAACAGACCTGGAGTTGGCTAGTGAAATAGTCTTGCAAACAGATATAGATCTTGTGATTATGGGTTAACTCAAATTCATCTTTTTCTTTCCCGTTTCTTTAGCAATTGCAAGGCTGTACAATTCCACAGAGCACCAGGAAATTACGTGCTGCCCTGGGGACACATAAGAAAGTGATGTGCTACTTCTAGAAATGGTCCTGGGTATGTAGCGGCAGCGTCTAGTAGACATGGTTTATACACCCCTCATTTGTGTTTTTTTATGATGTTTAAAACCAGCGCTTTTTCAGTAAGTTCCTTATTTCCTTTAGCAAGGTCAGTTAACCACCTCTGAAAAACATCAAATTTGACCACGCTGACCTAACCAAAATCCTCAGTTGCGCTCATAGTCATAGTGTTAGTGAGCATATATGTTTGTTCAATCACAATATTCATGACAGATATTACACACATACAAATAAAATAAACATTTGGTGTTTTTCTGAAAGTGTTTTTCTATCCATAGACATTTAATGGACTGCTTCTAGCTAAAGGAAAATCTAGAAAGTGAGAGAACAGTGTTTTCATAATACCACTATCCCAACTAGAAAAAAATATTTTAAAACTAAAAGTCTCCTTGGGTTATCATTTGTAAGCAATGCTAATTCCTTTGGTGGTAAAAACTCAAGTTATCAAACAAAATGAAAACACACAAACTCATTCTGACATAAATTTCAGGTAGATTCCATAAGCAAGCCTGTCACCCTTATTGTGGCTAGAAACTCTTCTTGTCCAATAGTCTTATTAAATACCTAAAAGAGAACTTAATATTGTCCTAACCTTCCCATCTGCTGGAAATTAATTTTTGAGGAAGTTCTCTTCCTCATCCTCCAGCTCAGAATGCTATAATTTACATATGGGTTTCATTTTCCTGTTTCTAATTTTCTTAAAAGAGATCGCCATGTGGTAGAGTTAAACATCTTTGGTTGAACTTGGGTAAGAATGTTACTTCTTGTCTGCTCTTGGTTCTGTATAAGTGAATGTGAAACAGTTGCTGTAATGTGATGTGTAACATAAGATGATCTGGCTGGGCCTTTTCCCATTAAAATTGCATCCTTTCCTTGTGGATATATTCTTTGTCAAGATAAGAGGAGCATGTGTTTGAGAAAGCAGCATATCAGCATCAACATTTTCTAAGCCACTTTGCCAAAATGAAAAGCTAATGCTTTTATAGAATTGGCAAGAATGAATACTTTAACTGAACTATGACATTCATACAGTCAAGCTAGGAAAATAAAAATAATAAATGAGCAAGCAAAAAAGAAAAGGCAGTTTATAATTAGACATAAAATTTATATGAGACTATAGGAAAGCATTAAGAAAGCTACAAACTAAATGTCCTAAATTTTTAGCTATACTTTCAAGTAACAATTATGAGCAAAACAGTCACCTGGGTTGGCTAATGAATGCAGCTGTACTTCTCTTATTACATAAAATGGATTTAAAGTACCTTAACATTTTATTTCTGAATTAGCAACTTAATAATACTGAGATGAAAACTCAGTCTCCTAACTCTGTACTTTTTATATTGTTACCCATATTGAGACTCACTTTAATACAGTGATATCCTCTAGTCCTTCCAACTGTTTTGCTCCTCTATTATGTTCTCTTGTTGCGGGTTACTTGAGATATTTTTACCACTCTGCTCCTTGACAGTATTTCCTTTGCCAGGTGACTTGGCTCTGAAGTAAATGGTTTGGTTTATATATATTTACATTTACCAATAGTTACCAGAATTAGCCATTGAGGGTGCCACTGTGTCTCTTTACCTCTCTCGGTTATTTGTGAAGTGCTTGAGATCTCTTCTGCTATTTCAGGGCTTGCAGCTGTTGAGCATGACTGAATGCCAGATAAGTCTGCACCGCAAGGCTCTGTAAGTCTAGGCTGGGTATTCTCAACTTCAGCACTACCGACATTTGGGGCTAATGTTGGAAGGGGCTGTCCTGTGCATCACAGGATGTTTAGCAACATCCCTAACCTATACCCAGTATGTACTTCCACTAGGCATTGTCAAATGTCCCGACTGACACAACTTATCTAGGCTATATCTGTGCTTTACCAATCTAAGGCCAATAATATTTCTTAAAAAAGAAAAAGATTCTTATGTCTATCACTGTTTAAGAGGTAATAAAGTCCGACAAAGAACACTGAGGAAGAACAGTTTAACATGTTAAAAGCACACTGAATTCTCTGAAAGATGTCTGTTTCAATAGTCAATATATTAGAATGAGGGCTTTGAAAGAGGTACTTTTCTGTGAAGGTCTTTGTTCTTATACTATCATTTTCCACAGGAACAAACATAAAAGGCCCAGGAATTGTATAATCTCATCATAACAGAATTTTTAAAAAGGACCTCTAGATAATTTAGTACTATACTTACAACTGCCACTGTGAATAGGTCATGCCAATCATTAAAAGCTCAAGGGAAGAAAAGTTGCTCTCAAGATTATTTCTATGTTAACATTATATGAATCTTAGAAGATGCTTAAAGAATTTGAAACTCCTACAATTAATTTTTAGTCCTTAACTGAGACTATGTTATGCCTATAATTATCTTTAGATATATTACATCAATTCTCAGGTCTTCTTTAAAAAAATTTTTAAATATTATAAGCATTTAGTTTATATTTTTCAATCTTTACTTAATTTTGTTTCCTGTTATGGAACATCTTCTACATTTTCCACATCTCTGAGAAGTGACAGTCAAAATAAAACATAATACTCTAAAGGGAGCACAGCTTATTTAAAGGAGACGGTTCTTAAATTCTCCATCCTATTTAAAGGAATTAGTTTAGGGAATTCAGGCAGTTGTTAGATTAGCTATTTTCTTCATTATGAAAGCCTGGCAGCCTTATAAAAAAAAGTAGTTATGTACAAATGCAATACTAGAAGAAGAGTATAAAAATCATGTTTTTGAGGGAGGGGTCATGCAAATAATTTCAAAGAGGACAAGACATTTCAAAGAGAAATAGACATTTTTCAGTCCAAGTGATGTAAGTAACAAATGCACCAAAGTAGTGTTTTTGGAACAAGGCATGTTAAAGAGGGTATATAATCTCTATTATTCAAGAGTACTGGTGAATTACAGCAATATAATACATTTTAATTCATTCATTACCAATCATTTGAGAGTCTAGTATGTGCTGCTGAGCATTGTGCTAAATGTCATGTACATAGTGGAATAAGACAAGAGTATATTATTATTTAAACATAAATACACTTAAGATGCTACTAATCTTATTGTGAAAAGTTAAAAGAAAATCACATTTATGTTAACTTTAACCAATAGAATAAAGCTCAGCTATGACCACCTGGGTTTAAAAGATAAAAGTTAATGTTATCTAAAAGCAACAAATAACAGTCTATGACTTAGCATAGGGCAATAAAATGATTATGTTGGGTAGCTGCTCAGCAAGTCTTTCGCTGACGGGAAATTCATCCTCAGTTATCAAAATGGTACACATTGTACAGAACAAGATGCTCCCTACTATAAGCATACGTGCATAACACTATACATATTTGTCTAAAATCTTCTCAAAACCAGGAATGCATAGTATTTAATACCTGAACTTCAAGAGAGAAATTTTCCATCTCCCTGCTAATAAAGTATCATGAGGTAGCCACTGAAAAGAATTTGGTAGAACGCTACAAACTTTTGCAAAATTGCAGAAAATTAGGAAGCCTGCACTTTAAACTGACATTTGACTCGTATGAATAGGATATAAGTAAACTGGCCAACAATTTATTGCTGAAGAAATGAAGGAAGATTACAGAGACACTTACCAATTCTGGCACACTTCCAAAATATACCCAACAGTCTGCGTAGAATAAAAAAGAAAAAAGTAGTTATTGATTACTGGAAAAGGTAAATCATTCTCTCAGACTCACAGACAATTCATTATACTAGTATTTTAACTTCTGATGCTTTGCTTCAAAACTGAAATTTGTTTGATGTCGAGCCACTTATGTAGGAAGTAGAACACAATAACTTAACCACCATCAACGTATATACACTGTTGCTAACTGGAATGCACGTCGTGTCATAGATTAAACCTAGGGTAAATTAATGTGAAAGTGGCAAAAATTAGCACAAGGGCTTACTATTTTGTCTTTAAAAAATGTAGATCTACATTTAAATAATTTATAACCATGAACTCCAGTGACAGCATCTATATAACTATGTTATTCCATAAAGAAGAATACAAAAACATGTGCCTATGTTCTCAAAATAAGTAGAAAATCCTAGTTTAGGGACCCTGTATATGAGTTAATTAAATATGGCATTTAAAACACATTCTAAAAATAAAGAGAATTAAAATAAAGATGTCCATTTCAATTCTATAAATGAACATATTAAGAATTAAATAAGTATTACATATATACATATCATTTATTTGACATATAAAAAGTACCAGCATAAGAAAAAAAAAACAGCGGTCAAGTCATTTAATAAATATCAGAAAAAATATAAACACTGTGGATAACTATTTTGTTGGTCTGACAGAATTGAATAATAAATGGTGCTATGCATGGTTACAAATCAAGATAAATTAACATTACTTATTCTGGTAAGTTAGGATTGGCGTAACAAAATCAAAATCCTTAAATTCCAGAGAAACTTATATTACACATTTTTTGCCCAAAGAAATGGCTGGCTAATGAATCATTATATTAGAATAACTAAGACTGAAAGAAAATACTGGTTCAGTTAACTTCTATATAGGTTCCTCCTCTGAAGTATAACAACGTCCTGACCTCAAAGCAAAAACTCTCTTACTTCAGATTAAATGAAAGGAGTAAAATATAAGTTATTCTGAAGAATGACCATTCTGACAGGTGAAACAATTTTACTACAAGACTAAAAGGACAAAAATCATATATATTCTTGAAAGTAATGTAGGATAATATAAGGGCCATACTATGTCTAAATTCAATCCTACTTAATCGGTTGCATAACTGTGGTTATTTTATCCTTTTGTTAAAAGGATTAAATGAGTTACTTCACAGAAAGTCTTTAGAACAGTGACTAACATGTGCTGTGCTCAGTAATACACAGGTTAAAGGAACATGTGACAATAACTCCAGATATCACTTAAAATCGGCTCACATTTCACCAAAAATGGAAAACAACTGGTTAGTGACAAATGGTTCCTTGATTCTAAAAACCTACTGGTTATAATATGCACTACTGATTTAAAGCTACTCTGCTTGAGGGATTCAGAGGCAGGATACCTGGAGTTCTTCCACAGGAAGCTTAAAGTCCCACAGAGCACAGTCTGAAACCAAATGATCACAGTCAAGGTCTTTTCAGGCCTAATATTCTATTAAGTATGATCAGAAGGTTGGTACAACACAGTTAATATAGTAAAAGCTATTTAAGTAAAAAATATTCCCAAGTTGGCCACTGAAGGATATACCAGTACTACTTTGGCTTTTTAAACATATTTAGACATATTTCTGTAATGTTCCAAATGCTATTCATTAAAACACAGGAATTTTAATCCTTGGTAAAACAGTTATGCTGCTTAATTTCTATGGCTGTAAACCAATAAGTATAACTGGTGATAAAGCTATTAGGAAACTGGACAAAGTAGCAGTATCTTTCTGCTGCTTTTTATTTCTATGTTATCTGAAGCAGCAGCAGTTGAAGGCATCAAAAACGTGCTTTATGCATGCGACCCAGACATCTGCACTTAAGTATGGAGTACTCACTACAATAAAGGGAAATTTACAGCCTCAGAAAAAATACGTGTTGTAACAACAAAAACAAATGGCCTATACATTTTTTTCTACAGAAAATACTTCTTATATAAGTTAAAATAAAATGGGGCTTAATATTTATATAAATAGAAACTACGTTTTTTAAAAAGCTTTCAAACAGTTGACTGTATCAACATAAACTTTAAAATGTAAAAATAGGCATCCTATTTTTTTGGTCTTTTATGTAGGAGAAATATACTACTACTCAACCTCTACTGTAAGGTTGGCAGCCCTGAGAACTCCTTTTTTTTTTTAATGTGGCATGTTATGGATGTATTCCTGCTCCCATAGGAATGAGGAGCAGACCTATTTCCACATGCAATCTACTTTCTTTATAATAGAATGAACAAAGTATATTCTATTCTACTACTATGGGACTATTCTTTAATGAAATAAACACTTAAAAGTATCTTTTAGATAGAAGCTACGTATTATATGAGAAATCTAAGCAATGGGTCAATGAGAATGTTTAATGGTTTCTACCACATGCTTTAACTATAAGTAATAGTTAATAGAGGAAGGAAAGGAGGAAAGAAAGGAGGAAATAAAACTGGTTGGGTAAAAAGATTTCACACACAAGTAAGAAACAAATACAATTATTTGTAACATCAACAAATGGACAAAGTATTAAATCGAGTGCCAAAGGCTAAGTGCAATAGGAGTTCAGAAAAAAAGGTGGAATGATGAGAGGACAATGTCTACAAAGGAAGTGGGGGTTGTAATAAAAACTGATGGACAAACAGCATCTGTTTCCAACTTTAGTAAATTAAATAAAATCCCTCAGGCCAACAGAGACAGATGATCAGTTTATTAGAACAGGATTACTGGTTTTCAATATTCAAAACTGGTTAGAGTTCTGTTTATTCGTTTACACGTGTTCAAACAACCCAGGAAATAAAAAGGGAGAAGTAGGGAAAAGCCCATGGTCCAGCTAATGGGATGTTTGAGTTAATGTTAATTATGACTCCAGACAGAACAGGGCTGCAGGAAAGAGAGCAGGGATTATTACTCTCATACTTGACTATCTACCACCTGGCCTTTTGTAGCTTTTATTAGAGGAAAAGAAGTGTTTGACCTTGCAGGATCCTAATTTGGCCTTTTTCTTCCTGTTAAAAACAAAAAAGGTGCTGGAGATAATTAGTCCCATGGGAAATAGTCCATTATTTCATCTTTTTATTTCTTAAAATCATTAAGTGAGGTACAGCCTCTTATCAAGAAAGAATTAAGACAATCATTCATAGAAATTAATAAATATGTAAGGCAAAGAAAAGTTTTTACCTCACAGTCTCTTTTTAAAAATATACTCTTACTTTTGGTTAAATTCAACATGTATTTCTGCATTATGAACATGGCACTTTAATTCTCTGTGTTACAATATTAAGTTCAAATTTTGGGGGAGCATGAATCTATTAAAAGGGACGTGACATGCCCAAGACAGTTTAAGTAAGCTAAATACATTTCTTCAAAGATGTTTAATTTGTGACACAGACAGGGAGTTCACATAATTAGAGCAGTCTTGGATTAGAGAGGGAGTGTCATATTATTATTTTTATGTACATGGTGCTTGCAAACTGCTTAATGCTTTCAGAATGTGATAACTAACCAACTTCACTAATTATTTTATTTTCTTGATCCCAGAAAAATTACCTGTTGCATCTTTTTAAATATACATATTTTTCGGTCTAATAAACTTCAGGTCACTTCTGATATTTATCTTTTTATTTAATAAGATTCTGTGAATATAAAGTTTTTGGATTTTTAAAATGGAGGAAGAAAATAATGTAAAAGTTATTACAAAAAACTGAGTTACATGTAGAAATTAAACTGTTTAATGACGTTTATAGTAATTTACATTCAATGTCTATAAGAACTAATTTGGATGATTAGGCATCATTAGTAACATACCCAGTTTTATTTCTGTCCAGGAGGCTTGGTGCCAACGACCGGATATAAGCACAGGTACATATAAGCAGCAAGATTACAGTCAACAGACTCTGAAAATTGAAAATGGCAGACTAAAAAGAGAAAAAGAAAAATTAGTATCAAAAGAGAAACTGCAAAGGTAAAATATGCCAGACAAGCCCATATAAAGAATCATACTTTTTTCTTCAAAAAGGCAAGCAGAATGCCATGTCTGAGAACACTTAAAACCGAATAGGTATTTCGAGAGTGTACTTTCTTCTTCATTCTTTGAGCTAAGGGATGAAGATGTAACAAAAATTCTAAATTCAACAACTTAAAAACACTACCAAAAATGTCACGAATCCAACATAGGTCACCAAAGCTGAATCAATATATAATACATACAGATGTTCTAGAGGCCCAGACTACAAGAAGGACATAGAGTCTCCAAGCTCTGCCAGTAAGTAGCTGGCTACCTGACCTCAACTGAATCACTAGCCTCTCTCTAAGTCTCTGTTTCACACCTGCAAAACTGGGTGGAGGGAGGAGAGAGACTAAATGTTGACTAACATTTTTTTCAATTCTGAAATTCTTTTAGGATAAGCATGCTTTAAATTTGAGCAGTCACGTTCCATGTACTGACTCATGCTAGTTTATTCTGTTTTGGTGAAATAAAAGCAGTTGCTCATTCACTGATGAATCTTTATAAAAAGTTTTTCAATAAATTTAACAGAGAAAATCATGTTTCCAGTCATAGCAAAATGAAGGTGGACTTTATTCAAAATTCAGCTCAAGCATTATCTTTTCCAGGAAGTCTCCTTGAACGCATTGGCCTCCGCTCTCCTATTTCATATAGAACGTTCCTTTCTGTTCCCATAGCAAACTGTTACACATTTATTATAATTAATACTCAGTCATGAAGAGTGGGCATTGTCTTACCAGACTCAATCTCCAGTACCTGACTATGCATCTGACACAAAGTTCGAGCCCTATAAGGGATGGTTGAATAAACAAAAAGTGCAGAGATGCTACTGTATATATAAGCCCCCCAAAATCTAGTGAAAAACAAGTACAGATCATAAGGGAATTAAGTAAGGTGCTTGGGTACATAATTAAAATATTTAAATCAATAGGCTTCATGATTATATTTATCAACCTGTTAAAAGACATACTGGAAAAAAAGACTTCATTTACAATAGCAAAATTGCTAGGAATAAGCTTAACATGAAATATGTGCAACACTGGCATCAAAGAACTGTCAAAACCTTAAAGCATACTGAAGAATACAGAAGCAGAATGAAGTGCTATATTTGGTTCTTATACTAGAAGGCAACATCATAAAGTTAATCTGTAAATTTAAAGTGAACCTAATACCAACAACTTATTTTTGAAACAGACAACTGATTTTGAAGTTGAACAGGGAAAAATAAATTTAAAATAGCAAGAAAATTCTAAACAAAGGAACTAGCCCTGTCAAAAACTGTCATAATATTTTTAACCTTTTATACATATTTAGAATATTTATAAACTATTCAAAACATTTTTTAAAATTATACATTATTTACCAATATCCTTAAGGACAAAAATGCTTACATACAATGCTAACTAGTAGGAAAAGCAGCATGTAAGATTTCACAATCCTATCTTTAGCCATGTAAACCTTTATTCAAAGAAGAGGTGAAAATGCAGTGATTATCTCTAGAAGGTTTTTAACATAATTCTCAGCTTTTTTGGATCTCTCAAATTTTCTAAGTGTTAGTTTTATGGTCTGAAAAAGATAAGCAAAAATCTTCTGTATTATTTTAACAGTTGTTTTTGTATGGAAACCATTTCTTCATGGATATAGCAAGGGTAAAATTTAATATGCCTTGGTTTTTAATTGAACTGGATTTTAATTTTGCATCTGTGAAGGCAAGTGATATACATTTTATAACTTGAACGAAATTAATGAACTCATGATCAATTATAGATAGAAAACACAGTATCTTCCTTTCAAAGGTCATTTTTTGAACATGTATATGAGTATGTTGATAAATATAGTATTTGATAACACCATGAAATATAAAGCATAGATTTCCTTCCACTCAATATAACTAAACACGTATTTAATATCTAGTCTGGGGTATGAGGCTAGACATGGGATTGAAAAGTACATAGCATGATTCCTTTCCTCCAGGACTTTTATAAAAGCTAACAACAATGATAACTGATATTCACTGAGTGCTGGGATTATCTTACTTATCCTCACATATGCTGTTATTAATACCCTCACTTTATACATGAAACAACTGAGGCACACAGCAGCTATAATCGAGTTAGGACATATATTTTAAAAACTAAATAGCAACTCCCTGTAGCGTATGTGACTACTGAGCCACGCTGACAGAAAAGTGGTTTTCATAAAGTCAAGTCAGGAAAAGACTCAAGAAGAAAGCAGGAACTGAACCAAGCCTTGAAAGAGCACAATTAGTCAGGCAAAGAACAAGAAAAACAGGCTCCAGAAGAAACAAAAGCATGTAAAACATCCCCACAGAATCAGAAATGCACATGCACGGAACAATGTGCAGATTTATTAAGCAAAGGATTTATGTGGTAAAGTGGCTGGAAAATAAATTTGCAAAGTAGGTTTATCATCTTCCTTAATGGAGTATCTAAATTCATGATTTTGCAATGTATACTTTTGCCTTCCCTGAATGTCTTGTTAAAAAACATGCTTAAATGATACGGTGTTTGGGATTGGTTTTTAAATAATCCAGTGTGTGTGTGGTGTGAGGTTGATGAAATGCTGAGTATATGAGGCTTCATTGTGCTCTTCTTTCTACCTTTGTATGTTTAAATTTTTCATAATAAAAGATTTTAAGAGGCACTTAGAAACATGCCTATTATTAAAAAGTGGGGTGTGTTATATACATTTGTATGTAAAACCATTTACAAATGAAAATCATTTACAAGTATGCGATACATAATACATGTAACTTTGTTCCTGGGGTTTATAGACCCTAAAATTTAAACAAATAATCTTAGGTGGTAAAGTCTTTAAGATGTACTCAGGCTGGTCTAAAGAGCGTTTCAAACCTCTAGACATTAGTCTACCACTGCTTAGCCTACCTAAGCATTCCCCTTAATGCTTAGCATCTGTTAGCCGCTGATATAAAATTTTAGTCTCAGGGTTAGAGGAAACAGATGTTCCTGTCCTGTAGAAAAATAATTGAGATTTTTAAATAGGGAAGTGTTATTAAAGGAAAGGGAGGAAGCTAAGAAAAAAGGAAGCATATTTGATCACAAAATAGATGGAAAGATGATAAGGTGGTAAGAGAAGTAAAATTCATTTACTGTGCTTAATTTTTTTTCAGGTCTTTTAAATCATGAAATCTTTTTCAAGGTATTCCGTATTTTTGCACATTTCCATCTAGTTTTCCTTGCCTGGTGAACTGACTGAAACTGCTGGTCTCAACTCAAGAGGTACCTCCTCTGTGAAGTCTTCCCTGTCTCCACTCTCCACACCAAGAGTCAAGATCTTTGACAAGTATGTGTTACGCACAGAGCTGCCTAAGATAGCACCCATTAATCTGTACTGTGATTGTATCCTTTATTTTAATTAGGTTAACCCCTGTGAATATTAAACAAAATAGTGCACAGCAGTCGCTGAAAAATGCTGAATGAAACAGGAACTTGAAAATAATCACAAATAATATTTAAACAAATGCAAGAGCATACTTATATTCTAAATTAACAATGCAGGTTATTAAAAAAAGTGTAGATCAGACTGCTGAATATTTTGTTAACTCAAGAGAAACCTCCATGCACTCCTTTGCATTTATATTTACTTGTCAGTGATAATCGGAAAATCCAGAAGGAAGAAGCAAATATCCTTATGTTTTGTTAAGGGCCCAGGCTGTAGGGTAAAATAAAGGCCTGAGGTAATTTCCTTTCAATATCTAAGACTTTTTGTATCACAAACTGGAATTCAGAGAAAGTTCTATCAAGCAGCCAGCCTTAAGGTGCTTATACATGAGACAAAATGTATTCTTCTGACTCACCTAATTTGTAAGAGAGACATCTTTAAGAAGCGTGGCTGGCAGAAAATTCTAGAACCTCAAAAACAATTCTCCAATCTCAGGTTTACCTAGTTTTCCATGAGGACACCCTGTGACAGTGGCAGGGGGTTATACAATGGCATGCTACCCAGTTTAAGAAATAAAACTTCATGAAGTAAACATTAAATAAGGCACATTGGAACTAAGGAGTTCTAGGGAAGAATTTATCTTCTGCTTTTTCTAGTTTCTAGAGGCTGCCTGCGTTCCTGGGCTACTGACCCCTCATCACTCTGACCTCTACAGTCACTTTTACTCTAGTCACTTTTGTTGTGACTCCGCCCCTCCTGCCTCCCTCTTACAAGGGTCCTTGTGATTAAATCACCCCTCTCCCCATAATTCAAGACACTCATCCCATTCCAAAATTCTTAATCAAATATGCAAAGTTCCTTTTCACTTATCATAAGATAGTAAGATAAAATATTTGCAGGTGTTTGTTTGTTTTTGTTTGTGTGTGTGGGGGCATTATGTCTACCACAACTACAAACACTTCCTTTTTATGAAGTATCCAATTAACATTCCCTAGACTCTGGGATGCTTGAACACCTGGAGCACAAACCTCAAATACAACCAGAATGGTAACTCTTGTGGTTGTGGAATACAGCAGTCCTGCCTTGACCTTTCATTCCTCTCATAGTTGTGCTCAGTCTTCTAAAAAATGGTAATGGAGATCCTCAACTATTTTTCTCCAAAGGCCCCTTTTATTATCCTTCCATATTTCAGACTTATCACACTGCTCATAGCTAATCAGAGCTCCTAATATACTTCAAATTAATGTTACTGTACTAAATTAATTTATACAAACCAGAAGGAAATCAACTTGATGAGTCAGTTACTTTGTATAATCATTTTAAAGTAAATCACAATTTCTCAGTTCATTTGAAACAATGAAAATAATTCAGACTTTGATTTGGCCATTACTACAGTACACAAAATCATTTATCAATGAATAGACAAGAGATTGGTCAACACAAAGCTTAATGTTCAAACATGAAATTATTTGCAATGTTGACACATCT